CGATGCTCTTTCTTTTTCTTTATTCTTTTGTCTGATCTTATTTGTATACACCATGTTCAATTTAATTTTGGTTATGTTCTGTCAAAATTTCGTGTCAACATCTTTGACTATAAAGACTCTTTCTTAGTGTTACCTTTTCGTTAACTTACCTTTGGACTTCCTGAGTGACTCTTCTTCTGTAACATTGTTGACTTTTGTTTTACTTTTGTTTCTTTGTTCTTTTGTTTCTTTGTTCCATTTGTTCCTCTTATTCCCCATCTAAGATCAGGAAATCACCTTATTGATTCCTTTACGGATATGTGAGGGTCCAAATGGTTTTGTTCTCCAAAACAGAAAACAACATATACCATAAGTGTACTCACTAAAACCTGACCTTCGAAGTGTTTATCAACAACTTCTAAATGTTTGCGTTGTACTCTGCAGTTACCTGTTTTCTAACGACTTGTAGACTGATGAGAATTCAATCTTAACCTGAATAAATTCCTGTGATATGTTTCTTATTTAAAGGCTTCATGTTAAATTATATGCAGGGCTTTCATTTAACACCTTTTAATAACTTATCCTGTTTCATTACTCAGTATGTTAAAGTATATGCAAAGCTTTCCAATAACATCTTTTCATGGTATATTTCTTAATTCCTAATCCCTTCTGGTTTGATATCATCAATCTTAAGACTTAACATTGAGGTATGTGCATTGCTTTCCACTCAACATCTTAATCTTGACTTATCATTTGTAATTCCCATTCTCAATTTGATGTCACCAGTGTTAAGGCTTAATGTTAGGGTATATGCATTGCTTTCCTCCTAACACCTTATCTTAGCTTATCATCTTTCCAAATTTCAGGTTATTACTGGGTTATATGCATTGCTTTCGCCCAAACCTTACTTCTCTTTATTCTCATATTAATTCCTTTAGATGTTTCCAGTTTTCAGGCTTAAGTTGGATTATGTGCATTGCTTTCTTTCCAACACCCTACTTTGGTTTAACATTTGGTTTTCTCCTATTTTCAGGCTAATGTTGAATTATGTGCATTGCTTTCTTTCCAACACCTTACTTAGGTTTGTATACCTTGTAACTTCTTTAATATCTGTTTTCAGGCTTATGTTGAATTATGTGCATTGCTTTCTTTCCAACACCCTACTTAGATTTGTGTAACTTGTGATTCTTTCTTCTTCATTTGCTTTCAGGCTTATGTTGAATTATGTGCATTGCTTTCTGTCCAACACCCTACTTGCATTCTTTTATCTTATTAACACTTCTTCACTACTAAGGTTTTCTTGAATTATATGCAAGGCTTTCATTCAATACCTTTTCATGGATTCAGATAATTTGTCGATCAAATAGACGTGAACTTGTAACCAAAACATATAGTGGATTTTATTTTCCTTAAAGGATTCATTCATCACGAGGTTTTCTTATACTAGGGTGTTCTAAAGAGTAATTAGTATCAAATTTATTGTAATATACATACTGTTTTAATTTTCACTATGAAATCTTGTAACTTGGTTTAATTTTCACTGTGTAATCTTGTAACTTGAGCCATATTAGCCACAATTTTTTGATTTTTATCATTTGTCCCCAATGATGTGATGAATTTATCTTCATCAGGATATTCTCCCAAAATGTAGGGCAGTAAATTTCTAAATACAGTAGCAGTCACGGATTTTGTTAATATGTCAGCGACATTTCTATAACCAGGAACCTTGTAAATGTGAACATTTTCTTTCTCTTCTTGTGTAACTAATTCTTTCAATAGTTGGAATCTTGGATTTTGTTTATATAATATAACTTCTTTCAGCTTCTCTAAATCTGAATGGACCTGTAACATATCTCTTGATACATTCTCTGTAGTTAGATAATTGATTGCAGATTGTGCATCTGTGTGTAGATTTATCTGAACTTCCATATCAAACAATCTAGTAATAACTTTCTTATAATAAACAGCACGTTGATAAGCAAAGAAAATGGAGGTAAGTTCACTTTCACAGGTACTGACACAAATGTTTGTTGTAGCTTGAGATTTAAAGTCTATGATTCCACACTTATTGAAATAAATTGTATAACCACACAGCGATCTTGATCTTTGTAAATTATTATGACTAGCATCTGAAAACACGTTTAAATTTATAACATTTTTTGTTCCATTATTCTCATAAGTATTTTGTTTGAATACAATACATAAGTCTTTTGTTCTTACTATGTAATTGTACAACCTGTAGACCTGAAAAAATATCTCATTTGACGGTACAATAGTTATCCAGCTTGATAATAACGTGGTTGCAGCTCTAATGTCTCCACGAGTTTGTGCCAAATAATTAGCTTTACCCATTAAAATTTGTAGTTGGTGTACCCTTCTTTCAAAAGTATGTGAACTCATTTGATTTACTTCTAGTACTGAATTTTCATTTGGTTTTGTAAAATCTTGTTGAATTGGATTTTCAGCAAGACGAGTATTGGAGAACTTGTTTAAAAAACTTTCTTTATCTTTTAGTACAGTTTCTATATGGTTGCTAATGTACTTTTCTTTTGACATTTTAATTTCCTTAATTGTAAAGTCTGGATTCATTTCTTTGTGTATATTTGAGCCAAGTAGCACCAACGTTTTGTCTTCTGGATTTGAAGTTACAGAGCCTTCAAATAAACTTAAAACTTCATTTACCACATGTTTCATTTTACTTGGTGTACTTAAAATGATAGCATCATCCACAAACAAACCAATAACACTTTCTATATCACCGTCTATTCCTTTTTTGATGAATACTGTTGGACATATTTGGTGACATTCAAAGCCTAATTCTTGGATGATCTTTTTTGTAATCAACAAGTTCCAAATTAATGGACTAATCTTAAGACCATATAAACTTTTATGAAGAATAGCAAATTGGGTTTCATCATTTTCATCCTGGTAGGTGATAATTTTTTCTTGACCAGCAGGTAATATTCCATTCAAAAAGGCTTGCTTATAATCTATAGTTGCCAACTGATATTTATTTTTGTAAACAGCTAAATTTAACAAAAGTCTAATAATACCTATTGTGAGAGTAGGACTAAACAAGTCTTCTTGCTGTTGGTTTGTTGGTTCACAGTAACCTTTCACCACAAGGCGACTCTTTAACTGGTTTGACAGCTTCTTGGTATGAACCCAACGTGTAGGTAAAATTCTGTTTGATTTTAGTTTTTTCACCAATTTTTGGGCCTCAGCTTTATTTTTCAAAAGAGTCATAACATTCTTACCTTTCAATTCTGATGTTTCGGCTTGAACGGTTTTCTTCCATCTTATATCTCTTATTGCTTCTTTGAAGCTGATGTCTTGTTGACCAACTGGGATATCATCAGTATTTTCAGTTTGGATTGTATTGGCTATTTCACCTTCATTTTGATCACTAGTTGAGTCCAATTTTGATATTGCTTCCTCTTCAAATTTAGCCATGTTGATAAACAAAGTTTGATTTGCTCTACTTCTTAATCTTTGTTTAATTGTAGCATTTTCATCCACTTCGATTTCTCTTACTGAGTCATTGTAATGTTCTCTCAAATAATCAGGAATTGCGATTTTTTGACTTGAATCAGCTTCATTATGATTATCAGTAGTAGTTTCAGCTTCAATTGATGGAGTTTCATTTGTATCTGGATTATGAACACCAGTAAAAGTTTCAGCTTCTGTTAATGAATTTTCATTGATATTAGTTATGCTTTGTTGTTCTGATACTTCACCAATCAATGGATTCATCTGTACCACATGTTCTGTATTGGTATTTTCGTTATTATGATGTTCAATACTATCTTGACCTTCTAAACCTGTATTAACACCTTCATTTGTACAATTTGTCACATCTATTTGTTTAGCTGGTACGGTTGCATCTTCTGGAATAGGCTCATTTAATGTTTCTTCAATCTCATTTCTTTGATCTCTCAAATTTTCTGTAGCTATTCCATCATTTGCCTCCTCAGTACTATTATCTATATTATCTTGATTGGTAGAACTATTTCTTCCATAATCATTATCTTTTTCTGGTGTATTTTCACCTAAATCATTTAATGCTAAAGATTGTACTGTCGTTTCACCATAGTTTTGGTAATGCAAATTCTCACCAGAAGTATTTTCTTGTGTTTGTAGTTGTGATTCTGTATTGGTGCTATCATCCCTTGATGTAGTAAATTTGATTTGATCTTCATTTGATGTTTGATATTGAAGTAATAGGAATTCGTTGAACTCTTCTTGTAGAGTATCTGAATTTTCCATATTATCACTGGTTTGATTCCAATTTGATGAATTTTCACTAACTATTCTTTTCAATTCCAATAGGCCTTGTGATTGATCTCTAACCACTTTGTAATTTGTTGTGCTTATAATTTCTCCAGTTCTAACAATAAGTAAATTCAAACCAATATTACCACTAGTTGATAAGTCATTTGCACCAAGGTTTACAGCCAAGTCACCTCTAATATTAATTTTGTGAAGAGCTTTTTGATTTGAATTTGTTATCATCAAACTTCCAAAAGGAAATAATTCTGTTAGATCTATTTTTATTGTTTTGGACTTCACAATATTTCTTAAAGCAACAGCATGGAAAATAGCATATTTGAAATGTTTCAATCTTTTAACTTCCTTCGGAATCAAATGAAAAATGGTTCTAGAGTTCTCCATGACCAATCCGTTTTCACGCTCGACGGAGCTGTTGTTTGTTGACCGGTAATTTGTACTAAACCTCTGTATAACTCCTATTTCACTTTCGAGATTCATGGATCGGAACTCAAGAGCGTTATCCGTCTGCCACACCTTCACTCTATTTAAGTTTTGACGATCGGACTTCTTGATAAATTTCTTAACCAAATCACCAGTATTACTTCTCGTTTTTTGTACCTCAATGTGAACTAAACCAGACAGAACATCCTTAATCACTAATAATGCTGAAAACCCCAAAGGTACAATCAAGTTTTTAGGAACAATTATATGGTCACACGCATAAAATTCCCCCGGTTCATATAACTTGTAGTGTCTAGTTGCTCGACCTTGTGATGCTGGCTTGTTTTTGAATCGGTTTTGTTGACAAATGGTACAATCACCTGCAATCTGTAGCTGTTTTTCAAATTCTTGTTTATCTAGCTCAGTGATACCTATGAGTTGATTATTCTCATATAGTGATTTTAACATTCCTTTTGAAAAATGACCACATTTAATATGTAAATTATCCAATTTTCTATGAGAAACCTGATTTTCCACTTCGGAATTTTGTTCTTTATCATTGACATGATGTAATTTTCTTCTTTTGTGGTTTTGAGAACTTGTTGTGCTTGAATGATTTTTTCCTTGTTTCAACACTGATGAATCCAGCACTACTAAACCATCTATTTCATCAAGTTCTTGTAAGATTTCTCCAGATTGATTAACCATTGATTTCTTTCTCATATCAAGAAATACATTAATCTTTGCTAAAGCTGTTGCAGATAGTAATAATTTCTGTTCTTTTTCAATATAATTCAATTTTGTTTCAATATTCAACACATTTTCCAGTACTATTTCTTGGTTTTTGAGAAACAATCTTAATTTACCTCTACCATGTACATAAGTCTTTTGTCCATTAGCCATGAAAATCTCTTCAACATCCTTTTCTATAACTTCATATTCATCAAGAGTTTGTTTGCCATTAAACAGGACGTGGCAGTTTGCACCACTATCCACCAGTATAGTTAATGGAACTTTGAGTATATTATTAGCTGTTGCAGTGAAATTGGTTATTAAGCTACAGTTAAAATAGTATCTTGTACTTTTATTTTCATCTTCAGACTTATTTGGTCTAAATAACCACTGTAAATTTCTGCAATCTTTTATCTTGTGATTGTAATGGCCTTCCATAGGACACCGTTTATTACCATCATCATCATTATAATGACCACTTGTGTTATATTTTCTTTTCTTACTATTATTTTCAGTACCAATTCTATTATCAATAACTCTTGGACCATCAGATTTACTTGAAAATCTATTACCAGCATAATTCACTTCATTCTGAACAGTAACATTGGTTTTAAGCGATCCCAACTTAGCTGCATCAATAATTAGATTTAAGATCTCTTCTTGTAATTCATCTAAATTCACCTTTTTGATAATACCATGTATACCATTCATGTATAGGAATTGTTTGTAATCATCTGATGAATTCAGAGATTTCATATAAAATTTCTTAATTTCAGAATCTCTTATGATAATTGTAGCTGATTTGTTTGATTCAGATACCAATGTAGCAAGCGACTTAAAGTTATTCATATGATTGATGTAATTTTCAACCGAAATCAGCTCTTCTTTTTTCAATCTCAATTCTTGGATTCGTTTCAGCGTATTTTCTCCACTTCTTATACTTGTAGCATTGATCTTTAACAGCAGCAATTTCAAATTCTCTTTACTGGTTTTGGTTTGGTTGACTAACTCTTCTTGTTCACTAAAAATTCTTTTTAATAGCTGATTTATAGTTATATTTTCAAATCTACCTGGTGTGGAACCTTTTTGAGCTTCATCATTGTCTTCATCTGCAGCAGTTAAAGAAGCATCAAAACCATTGTACATTAAATTGTTGTAAATACCTTGGTTAATGAATTGGTCTATTTTTGTGATTGAAGATTTGTCAACATCCTTATAATTTCCAATAATTTTGAACAGTGTATCAGCGACTCTTGAGCTTGTGGTAAGCGGACCTTCGGTTTCTTTAGCACGGTGGCGTAAATAGAGCGGGTCTTGATATAAGTCATTTTGATATTGTTTTGATATTGCCGACATCTGTGATCTTGTAAGTCCACTTGCATCCATGTTTTGAGAAGAATCACTCCTGCCAGAGGCGCTACCA